GTAGATGGTTTGGATGAGTTTTGACCTTGTCCAAAGACTTACGTGAAGCTGTTTGCAATGTATATCAAGAGCTCTGGTACAGCAGTTTCTGAACTTAAAAAATGCTCAGAGGCCAGTAAATTCCATTCTGAATAGGTCCAACTAAAACTGACGCCAAAATCATCAATAATTTTCTTAACAAAGTACCTTGCAGTGCAACTAAATTCTTGCCTCTTACCTTAATGCAGGTATTATTAATAATCTTTGTCAATCAAAGGTATTATGTACTATGTCCAAACCATAATTTATTTACACGTTTCAACGTCTGATTTATCTCTCCCAGAGAATAGCTGAAGAAGATTCAGAATTTTTTTGCTGCTTACAAGAATTCCAACTGAATGTCAGGTCAAAAATAAAGAGAAATAATAATACTTAGTCATTTGTTCTACTGGGAAATTTTGAGGAGGTAGAGTATATTGATCAGAAAAATTTCCCGTCCCACTTACTAAGCTCTCTTTCTCAGGACAGTTCATTTCTGATGAGGCTTTAACAATAGAAGCTGTTTTAACAGTCAGTAAGCAACTGGCTTGGAATTAAATTCCATACATATTGTGCTGTGATTTAAGGGAAGAAAAGCAACTGTTCACTTTAACATTGTATAAGCAGTTGGCTTAGGGTTCAAAAATTGGTATGATAAAAAGGGAAAACATTTTTCTGGGTTTGAACTTGGATTTAACCAACAAATGGAGTCCATAGACTGCAAAGAGGGTTACTTTGTAGAATTAGTGCAAAGTAAAGCAAATAGTGAAGCTATGCTTAGTGATCTAGTAGAAATCAAGAATATTGCCTTAAGAAGGTCTAAGATTTGTCCCTCCCTTTCAGTCCCTATACTTATGTCAGTATCCTTATACAAAGAGAAGTATTTTTACTCGTTAAAAGCAAGTATGCTCATATGCTTATTTAGGTTTTGCCTAGAGACTCTAAAATCAGAAACACATTGGAAGTCACCTTCTGGATTCCTGTGCTCTTGGCATTTACAGAATGCATACCTTCTAACACTGAGGATTCTGATGTATTGGCATTTTGTGGCTATGGTATCAATATCCTGCAGAAAAAGTGCTATTGCTGAGACTGTCCTCATCCTTTGGAAGTTTACCTCTATTATATAGCTGTCTTTAGAAATAATCCAATTAAGAGAAGGTCTTGTTATCCTTCCTTGGATGATGATTTCCTTATCATTAGGACCATTGGGCTAGAAACTTAGTTTTTAAAAAATAAAAGCTCAGATCATTTTGAAACTTGGCAGTAATAAAATATGTGGAGAAACTCTGCCCAAACTTACATTATAGCATGGAAAGTGTGGCATGAAATTCCATGATCCTTCTATTCAAGGTAAAGTCTACGCCCAGTAAAATCAAGGTTGGGGAGTCCTAAGTGGTATTGCATAGGGAGCATGCATAACTTACAGTTCCTTACTTAGCAGTTATACAGTCCTGATAAAAAGAACCAAATCCAGATGCCCCCTAAATCTGGTAGTAAGGGCAGATAAGACTCAAGCAGCTACATAAGCAGGCTGTGGTCTGCACTTCAATGCACTATCCTGATTGAAATGAGCTATGTATGCTAAATAGAACCCATATAGAGAGCTTCTTGGAGGAAACCTCTTGTATAATCATAATCAACAGTACTGTGCTTGTACATAGTGCCTTAGTTCTAAGTATCTGAAGGTTCTTTGAAGGGACTGATTCCAGAGTTTTTGAGCAGATAGGTTGCCTTTTGAAGTCGATAGGATTCAGTAGGTAAGTATCAGGAAAACAGGGCCAGAAAAACATTGACAAACACTAGCCAGACTCCACAACTTCTCTGTGAGATGGTTAAAATGTATTTGTTTCCACTGTGTAGACAGATAAACTGAGACACAGAAGTGAAGAGGTTTAACAAAAGTTATACAGAAGATCTGGCATATAGCAACTACTGGAGCATACATTTTTCCCAGGGGTTTTATCCTTAGCCCGTTACACTGATTGGAGGTTTATTCTAAAACGTATAGAATGTTTTATGCTGTAAAGCTTAAACTAACTACAATTTTAACTAAATTCTCTTACAAAACTTTTTTTGTGAGCAAGTACAAAAAATATTTACTGTGGACTCTCTGAAAAATTTCCATGTTTTCTAACAGTGTTTCAGTTCCACTGGTGCAATGCTGGAAGCTATTATTTAGATAGGCCACTCTTTTTCTTCTTTTAACACTTTGTCATGTAATCCTGCTGAGACCAAGCCAATCTGATGTAGTGTTACAGACAGTGACAGTAGCTTCTGTCTCATTTATACCAGCGGGGCCTATTGTTGCTTACACTGAGCTATTGTTTGTTCAAGTCATGCTAGTGATTTTAAGGAAATTTTGCTAGTTAGAGTAAGAATTTGTATAATGGTCATCTCCAAACAACAGTTAATTCATACAAAATATTATGAGATGTTTTGGAAAATCTAAGAATTGTCATGAGTCCCAGGGACCACAGAATTAAACCTTACTCCCTCTAAATTTATATGAGACTTGGAGTTGAAAATTCAGGGGTGTTGCAATCATTTTTAGAAGACCTAAAAAGAAGAAATTAGAGATGCCATCTACATGTTTTGTTTTTGCCACAATTGACATGTTAACTGCAGCATAAATGAGATGGGTGCTACATATGTACCCAATTTCTGGCACTATAAAATGGCAAATGAGTCCTAAAAATGTTCCATAGATAGTGTACCACATTTTTATGGATGGTTTATAAGGCATCTTAATTTTAACGTGTGGCTGGGGTTTGACATTCAGCTGATTGTCAACCCTGGCCAAGACTGAGGAGGGGGAATTGAAGGGAAGAGCAGTCTTTAAGTCCTGTGCCAGGTGCTGGGGTCCCCAGTAGGGAAACCCCTTTGGCTCCTTGCACTAGGGACCTCTGATCCCTGCACCCAGCAGCCTGGCCATTGCTGCTAGGTCTGCAGTTTTGATAATCAGCTGTTTGTCAGGCTGAGGCTGAGGCTCGAGACCTGGGGCTTTCCAGCCAGGCTCAAAACCAGCCGATTGTCTGCCTTGGACAATCCTGGGTAAACTGGATCCGAGACTCTTGAGTTGGGACTGACAATCAGCCGATTGTTGGCCCTGGTACCTGGGCAAGCCCTAGTTCTTGAACTGGACCTGGGGCTTTCCAGGCCAGGGCTGGCAGTCAGCTGATTGTCATTTTTTGGTCCCATGTGCTGGGCTGCAGCACCTGGTTTTCAACTTGTGGGTGCAGGGAGAGCCTAGGAATCCAATCCTAGGCTCCTCTATGGTAAGCAATAATGGTGCGATTGGGATCTGATTCCTGATGCCAAAATTGCATATTCTGCAGTGCACATGTGGCACAGCAGGAGGTGTGATTGTTGGGATCGGATATAAAATCCCATCTCACCATGGAAGGGGCCTTAAGTTCTGGAAGAAAAGAAAAAAAATTAACAGTCAGCGTATTCAAACAGGAATTATTTTCTGTGCATATGGAAGTGGACAGATTAAATGTTTACACCAGTGTAAAAGAGTAGCAGACAGATGATGCAAACCTCTGAACTGGGATAACTTCACTCACTCTGGTGGAGAATTACTGTTTGAAAAATCAAGGGTCGAATTCTACCAGTGTAAGTTAATACACTGGTTCAGAATTTGTCTGTCTGTGCCCATCTGACAGTGGCTGTTTGTTAAAGGCTAAGGCCTGCTTCTTCCACACTTACCAGTAAGGTGCAGTAATAGTTGCTTACTGTATGAGCTAGCTGCATGTTGTTTATTCCTACACCCTGTGTAATTTCATACTGATATAGGAAACTGAAGTAAATTACACCAGACTATCTATTCATCTGTCAATATCCAATATGGGTTGATTGAGTTTTAAGGGACTGAAATAGACATCACATCTAGGAAGTAAGTGCAGTGTGGTACTTATTTACCTTGTGCTATAAATATGAATATTTTAATAATTTTCAATTACACTTCTCATTTTGTAATGAGCAAAAGCAACAGGAAATTATGCCTGTTTTATGGCTTTTAAAATTCAATGTCAATTGCTAAAATATGACTATTTCTTATCAATTAAAAAGGAAAACAGGTATTTGTAAGCAAGAAGAAAGAGTGAATGAGAAGGATATTGCCGGTTACAGAATGGCCACTTTAAGGCTAAAGTTGTTCTGCTCTGCCTAATGTAAAGGGCCAGACCAGAAAGTCGTATTGGGAAAAATTCCCTGAGAAGAGAAGTCCTGCTCTGTGGAGAATTAGCTGGATCAGAAAATTGCCAAAGAATGAGCTCCCGGAGAAAGAAGTTGCTTTGATATTGTGCTTACCATCATTTTATTACAACATTTGATGCAGTAAATGTATATTATTTTCTTTAGTATATTAACTTTTGTTCATACTATAGTCTACTCATACATAGTTTAGCCCTTATACATAGTTTCTACTTCTCTGGGAATTTCTTAAATCAAGTATGGATCTTTTTATCCAAAATATAATTTGTGAAAAAGTTGCTTATGTGTTTTAAAAAATGGCTTATCCCACGTTACTTTTTTGGCACAGGATAGCTCAGACTTACTAGTATCTTTGAGCAGTTGGAAAGGACTAGTGTATTTATAATCCTTTTATACTTTAAAATGTCAAGCTTCCTGAGATTCAGAACCAAAACTTAATCCTCTTGTCAGTAGAGGAAAAAAATAGTATATTTGACATTTATCTTAAGTTTCCTCTTTGGGGATTTGATGCTTCTGCAGAACAAAATCTGACCTATATAAAAGAACTGACAGACAAAGCCAAGTGCTGATTTGTAACGCATACACTTCTATGGGAACTCAAAGTGGTTATCATAATCTCTGGTAGTACCATTGGGTCCAGATGGCACTTACCTTGCTCCTTCTTCTGAACTGTAATTAGCTTATACATGGTGGTTGTATGATTGGGTAACTTATTTTCTACAGTTCTGAAAATCTCATATTTTTCTTCTGTTTGTTTTTTAAAGCCACGAGCTGTTGCTGGTTTTCGAGGAACAGTACGGTATGCGTCAATCAATGCCCACAGAAACAGGGTGAGTATTTTCATTTATATTCTACTTTGTCCAGTTTTTAGTTGAAAACAAAACAAAACAAAAAGCTGCAAGAGGGAAAGATATTTTCCTTTCTTGTGTCTGTCTGTGATTATATTACACTTTATGATAACAAGGATATATTGAATGCACCAGACTTGGGAAATATTTGGGAAAAGATAGGTCATTGACTTTAGATAAGTGGTATGGTCTTCTCTGATTGCAGAAGTAATAATATTTTAAATAGTTATCTTTGTCATTTTAATTGTATCACAGGATAGTATAAGAAAGGAGATGAAATTAAGTGATACAAAAACTATTTTTACAATATATTCCATCTATCATTTTATTCTCAGGGTTTAGAGAGACATCTTTTTTAATTCCTTCAAATCTCACTCCAATTTGAAGTGCTTCAATTTTGGAATGCATCAATGTTAGGCAGACATATAGGGTCCTCCCATCCAAAATGCTTCAGAATGGTTGCAAGTCCTTGCTATGACAGCCAGGGGGCTGGAGAGCAGAGATCCCAGCCTGCCTTTTGGGTCTGAGTCTCTGAGGGTTCCTGAGGACAGCCAGTACAGAGGAAATTGCTCATTGGATATGTGCTGTACCCAGCATGCATTGGGTATCTGGTGCCACTTCACCACAGGAGGGCTTTTCAGTTATACCATTGCCCCAGGAGGCCAAGAATAGATGCCTACTGTCTCCTTGTCCTGCAGTTTCTGGCTGAGCACTACTGTGAGGTTCTGTTCCTCACTCATGTGCCAGCTGTTTTACAAAGGCACAGTAACACACCATAGCCCAATCCCTAGAAAGGTGTCTTCTCAAGATGTACCATCTGCTTTGCAGTGTTGATACCAACACTTCTGAGGATGAAGCCATACAGGACACCCAGGAAGATGGCCTTCTGTGGGATCATTTGCAAACTGTGCAGTGGCACTTTGGGGCCATGTTGGTGAGCAGTGACTGGTGGAAGCACACAGTCCTGAGGGCACAAGGTGATGACTAGCAGCGGTAGAACTTTCAGATGAGTCACGTCATCTTTAGAGAACTCTGCACAAAGCTGTCCACATTTGCCTTAGCAGCAAAGCACCAGCATTATGGTACCTTTCACCTTGGAGAAATGCATGGCCATCACTATCTGGAGCCTGGCAACCTGATAACCTCCAATTCATAGATTTCATAGACATTAGGGCTGGAAGAGACCTCAGAAGATCATCGAGTCCAGCCCCCTGCCCAAAGGGCAGGAAGTCAGCTGGGGTCATAGGATCCCAGCGAGATAAGCATCCAGTTTGCTCTTGAAGGTGTTCAATGTAGGCGCTTGAACCACCTCCGATGGCAGGCTGTTCCAGACCTTGGGGGCTCGGACAGTAAAGAAATTCTTCCTTATGTCCAGCCTGAAATGGTCTTGTAGTAGTTTATGACCATTCGACCTAGTCGTCATCCCTTGGGGGCACTCTGGTGAACAAACGTTCCCCCAGATACTGGTGGTCACCCCTGATAAACTTATAGGTGGCCATCAGATCACCCCTGAGCCTGCGCTTTTCCAGGCTAAAGAGCCCAAGGGCTCTCAGCCTGTCATCGTAGGGTCTGCTTCCCTGACCTCTGATCATGCGCGTGGCTCTTCTCTGGACTCTCTCAAGCTTCTCCACATCCTTTTTGAATTGTGGAGCCCAAAACTGGACGCAGTACTCTAGCTGCGGCCTCACCAAGGCCAAGTACAAG